TATTCTGATTGATCCGGTAGACATATTAAATAAGTTTAAGAACCATTTTGACAATATTTTAAATACAGAAAATTATAATCTGTGTTCTCCTTCTGGGTAACAGAGTGCGGAATCGTTAATAGAAGAACCAAGTATAAAAGAACTTGATGTAGCTATCGGAAAATTAAAATCTTATAAAGCAGCGGCAACCGATAATATTTCTTGTGAACTAGCTAAGATATGTGGGGAACCTGGAATGAATTTTCTTAGCTCAGTAATTTTTGAAAACTAAATCCATTTCTTTATTCACTATCCCAATCAGTAGAACCTATTGATCCCTATTCCTCCACTGATGAAATGGTGGAGTGTCTTTCCTCCAATATTTTTCTATTTCTAGGTCAACATTCACCCCTAAAGACCTCTACTTTCTGACACTCATCCACTCCTGGATAAATTTTGAAATCAAAGAGATGTTGAATTGAAAGTAACCAGTTTCAGATACACTTCATTCATTCTGATCTGCTGACAGAAGAAAGTAGGTCCTGTGGTGAAATATTTGTAATAGAGACATTTTCAGGATCAAAGGAAGTTTTAGAAATGCAATATAAGGATGATAATGGTATTTGGATAGGATTGTCAAAGTAAGAACAGTTGATCAAAAGAAATAGGATGAGAAGTACAGGTTTATGACAAAAAAAATTAAAGTGTAGTCCTTTTCTAAACCTTTAAAACAAAAATCTTTTTGCCTCCTCGATTTCTTTACTCCTTATTCCTGTCTATTTTTTTTTTTTTTGTCCTCCCTTGCCCCGCCATTCAGGCAATATGGTTTTCCTAGACCAGGTATGATGGTGGAGGATTAATGCCAGAGTTAAAAGACTCCCTCTTCTCACCGACAACGGGACGTGGCTCATTATTTGTTAACTAAATTATCTTCCACTTGGTTGCCGGACAACATGGTGCTCTGCACACCTGTTATCCCTCCCGACTACCCAGCCAGTCAGCTCAGAAATGTATATATTCCTTCTTATAGAGCTGTTTCCTAAGAAAAAATCTTTATCATTTGTGGAACCTTGTTTTGGAATTCTTTAACCACCTCTATATTCAAAATCTCATCTTTAACTTCACCTGATCACCAATTGTGATTCCATTGTCTCAGCTGTCAATCTTCTGGTTAAATGTAAGAATCAAATAATTTTATTTTAGTGATTATAGCCTTGTTTTACTATAATTTCAGATTTATTTATATTGCTCACATATGCAGATATGTAAACATTTTACTTATCTATAATTTTGTTTGTTAACCAATGTTTTATTTGTTTTAATTTTGTTTTGATTTTAATGGTACATAACTTTGTAATTTGAGTATTTTTCACCTATTTTTCTATGTGCCAGACAAATCTAAATGTAATTCCTATGTTAATTGTCATTATTCTTAGGGGACTAAATGTACTAGAGTAAAATTTACTTTTATTCTTCTTAGATTTGTCAAGGACATAGATGTTATAGGTAAAATAATTAAATGATAGCATTATTAAAATAATAATAATTAAAATCCTTTTTTAAGGAGGGGCATTTGGAAAAGATTAATTAACCTACTTCAAAATATTTTACAATGGTAATTTAATGAATTAGGATGATGCACCTATATACACCATAAATATCGCTGGTACAAAATCTATATGGTTATTATTTTCAGAAATAATTAGATTTACCTTGACTTAGGCAATGCAATGTTTCCCTTGTTTTGCGATGGGGTGGTGTTACTAGTTCTTCCTGGAATTTAGCAATTTCTGAACCCAAAGACATCTCTATAGGAATTTCTTTCCCGTTGTTAGATCTAAAAATAAAAATAATTTTTATGCTGAACAAAGCTGCCAAAAGTGTTACTACACTGTTATACAGTAAATACAAAACTCTTAATGGATTCAATTATAATTCTGATAAACTTACAACTAATTTCTAATGGTTATTACATTTTATAAATATATTTCACCTGTAATGCAATATAATTTCATGCCATCAAAGTGCCATCAAAATTAAAAGATAACCATTAATTTTTCAATTCAAAAGCTTTCCAAAGAACAAAATAACTAAAGAGACTATTGAATTGATATTCTGTCACAGAAATTTGTGCCAGTCACTCTTTCACATGAAGAAACTTACCAGATTCTATCTGAGAATCTTTGATAACATTTACTATAAAAAACAAAGATAAAATAAGTTCAATCACTGTCTATTTCCAAAAATGTAATGTAAAGTATATTTTGATATTGTATTTTACTTGATATTTCAGCATAAAGAAACAATATATTTGAAATGGAACAGAAAAAAACAACTCATGTCTGGTCCTGGGTTTGTAACAAAAAACTGTTTCTAGACCAATGGTTGTGTAAGGAGATGATTTGTCTGAGATCGTTCACAACCACATTGTTTACTCCCATAATTAGTCAATTGATTAAATGTACTCACTATTCTGTACATGTGTACCCTAGAAAGATTTTTTAAGTCCAGTGTCCTTTAAAGGGTTGCAAAATAAATAATGTGTTTCAGAAAAAGGACCATAGATCATCAATTTACATATTTATGTTATGGGTTATGGTCTGGAGTTCTGTACTAAGTAAGGAAGCACTATTTCTTGATCACTGGTTGCATAAGAAGATGATATGACCAAGATCAAGATCAACTGCCAAGTTTTTTTAAAATAATAATAAAATATTAGAAATGCCTTTATTATCATCATAATTTCCTTTTTTTATTGTTATCGTTATTTATTTTTTATTAGGAAATTGAATTCCTATGAATCTTTGAATAAAAGGTTACGAAGGACAACTCCAAGTGGGAAGGCCATTTCAAGATAACATCAAACATACTATAGATGGAATCCTGAAAGTAAAAGAAATAATCCTTTTTCAGGGTTATATATAATGCTTGTTTTAAGCATTCATAGCTCACAATTAATTTTGACACATCCTACATAAAGAGATTTTATGTGACAAAATGGCCCTATACTAAAAAAAAATTGTTTATATTATTTATACTGTAACATATACGTGATATATTATAATAAATAGTGGCACCAATGGAGGATTTACACAGCAGCATTTACTAGAGGCAGTAATTTTTGAGAAGCAGTAAAATTAGAACGAAATATATTTTTTTTTTTTTAAATAAGCCAATTGATTGAACTACCTAGTTTTAGTTGTTCCCTTTTTTTATTTGCCATGATATATACCTTTATATCATGTCAACTAAAACAAGGCTTGATTATTATTAGAATAACAATATATCAAACTCATATACTTTTTATATATTAAAAATAAAAATAAGTTTTGACACAGGTCAAAACCTTTTAAACTGCTCTATAAAGAGATAAATTTTGACTCTTTGATGTAATATTTAAAAAAAATTAATTTAACACTTATCAGTAGCATATTTAAAATTGAGAAAAATAACTTATGTTTTTACAGAAAATACAGTTAAAAAATATCATAAAAATTGCAATGATTTGTTAATATAATTATAGGTTTGGTGTTTGCTAAAAATTGTCTTCATTAACACACATATATGTAATGAATACTTAAGGAACAAGGCTATAAGAAACATTTTTTCTCTCAAGCTCCTCAATTTTTAATAAAAACCATGCAAAAAATTTTGAACGATTATAATCACCTGTAAAAAAACTTCTTTCCATCAAAAAATACTTCCAGCCCAGCTAAAGAATACTGTGAGAGTGTAATTAGGAAAATGCACTTATACACCAAGTTATGCAGTCTTAGCTTAGGTGTACTTATTTTCATTCCTTAATTGCATTAGTATGTTAAGAAATGTTTTCTTCGCAAACATTAGCTCCTAATTAATAATCCAAAATATTTCTCCTATCTCCTACAATATTAAACTTTTACAATAATAACCTTAATTTTTAATAACAAGATCAGCAGTCTGTTTAATTCCACATGTTTAGGTGATTTATAGGTTATATTCTTTTTTGAAAAAAAACAACTTTCACTATATCAAAGCAAAATAATGATGACTATAATCCATATTATAGTCAAAACCTTGTTAATTTTAAATTAACAGTTTAAAATCTTTCAACTACATATGTTCTTTATTTATTGTCTCTCAATAAATATTTAAAATTTTGTTAATTTGTTTCATATTGAATTAATGCATTTTTCTAAGTTAAAAATTAAATGAGTATGTTTGGCGGAAGTGTGAGATTGTCTTCTTCACACTGTTGTTTCCTTATTAATGTTTAATCACATAAGCTATAATAACCTATTTCTAGATACTATAGATAAGTAATTTCTAGAAATAAGATATTTAGATCTGTTATGGTTTAATTTCTATACAGTATTTAAAATATTCACAAATTGAAATTAGTTTGTATATAATTATAATTACTGTTATAATATCTTAATTGTTATTTGTTTTGTACAAACTGTGTCAAACTAAACATCCATACTTAAGCAATGTAGATTTTACAGATGCCTCTTTTTTTTGTAATTTTTACTATCATTTATATCATTTCATTACTACTATATATATATATATAGTATATATATATATATATATATATATATATATATATATATATATATATATATATATATATATATATATATAATAATGTATCTATCATTATTATCATTTCAATCGATTGCACATTGTTAAGTATGCCATCAAATATGACTATGGAAACAAGCAATTTCGGAGAATTTTTTTTTATGTGTTTCAATTCAACATTCGACAGCCGAAATTGCAAGAAACATTACAACTTCAATCGGGAAAGGTTGTTATAATGAACAGACCATTCACCGTTGGTTTGAAACAAATTAGCATCCAAAAATATTATTGGTTTCTGGCTAGTGGTCAATGATAAGAATAATTCATTTCTCCTTATTTTAGCCATAGGTGAAACCTTAAAATGAAAACCTTGTGAAAACCTTCACAATAATTTTATACATTCAGTTCAAAAACGCATTTTCTGGCTTCATTTCTTAACAAAATCCTGAATTTTTCAGTTCTGGGATTGAAAAGTCAATAACACATTGGCGGAAAGCAATTGGTATACTCAATTCAGTTCTCTGGACCGAAAATATTTATAATAATGTAAGGAAATAAATATATAAGGCCCTGGTAGAGAGCGTAATGCTGTATAGTTCCGAAACAGGGCTGCTCAAGAAATCACTGAGCAAAAGATTACTAGTAGTGAAGGTGGATTTCTGGAAGAGTTCTGCTGGAGTCTCAAGGGTGCAAAGAATCAGGAACGAGACCAATAGAGAAAGGATAAAAGTTAAGTATAATGTACTAATAGAAATAATGGAAGAAAGAAGATTATAATCGTATAGGCATATGAAAGTGATGAATAGTGAATGATTTCCCCAAACGGAATTTGTGTAGGAGGCCGAGGGTAGGAGAAGGAGAGTAAGACCTCTTGTTAAGTAGAGAGATGTGGCTGAGAGTATGGCGGGCCGAGGGCTGACGGAGGAGGAAACGTTGGACAGGGAGAAGTAGAAGAACCGACTGAGAGAGGAGTTTGGCTGTGGGAAACTTCAATTAATGAAGAAGAAATCTTAAATAATAAAAAAAAAATTATTACAGATAAACGACTTTTCTTTTGTTCATCATTGTTACTAAGGGATTAAATGTCCCTGAATAAAATTTATTTTTCTTCTTCTTCTTAAAATAGATTGCCCTGATAATATCTTTGACAAAAACAATTTTTAGATAACAATTGTAATATAAAATAGATAAACAATTTTTAACTATCATTTACCTTGCATTTTTATTATTTTCTACTAAGTTTACTTTTATTACAATATAAGTAAAATTTTGCTACTTAATATCTGCTATTTCTTAAAAAAAAAAAAAAAAAAATGACATATTATACAAAAGGATATTAAAATATTGAAATTTGCTTTAGGTATAGTCCCCTAAATATTTGAATGAAAATTTATAAAAATCAATATTTCACTACATATTTCTTAGGATTATCATTATGTTTTTATATTTTAGTACTTTCCATTAATGATATGTCCCAATAATTTATACACTAAACCTAAATTTTTTATTAAAATTTATTTACGATCATTTCAAAATGACTTTAAATGAACCTATGTTAGGACTAAATTTGGTTATCACAGGAAATTAAAAGAAGAGATATAAATTAGGCTTTAATAGAGTTTAATTTTTGTTTTCATATAATAAAATTAGCGTACTACAATATTTACTGTTATTTGAACTAAAGAATAAATATAATAATTATTTAAATTCCAATTTTCTATTATTTTTGATACAAATATGAGAAAAACTATAAAAGCAAGTGATTAGTAGAGGTAATGAAAAGTATTCCATCCTAAAGGACACTCCACCCTTTTTGGCTCATCATTGCTAAAATGTTTATTAAACTGTATGGTGTTTCTATGTGTAATTATGTGGATAATTAACCCTTTAACAATGTTAGACTCATATGACTGGAGATAAAATCAATAATTAAATAAAATGGGCCCAGGTGACAGTGGACTCATATGAGTTGGAAGCCTGTCTGGCTTTTTTTTGTTAAATTTTGAATAGCTCAGTGTTCAATTCTACTTTTAAACTATCCACCAGCCTTCCAATGAGGCAGTAGGTAATTTTTCTGTGACTAGAGATAACGGGCATATTTGAACGATGCCTTAAATAAAAACGTGTTAATGGTTACTAGAGGTAATGAAAAGTATTCCATTCTGAAGGACACTTCACCCTTTTCGCTCATCATTGCTAAAAGGTTTATTAAAGTGTATGATTTTTCTTATTCTCTCTTGTCATTATCGTTAATTTGTCTACAATGTCAGAATACTTTTATGTTCACTTGTCTGTCCACTGGTTAATCATCTGAAATGAACCATATAAGCTGTTATAACTTATGAAGCATCATAATAACTTAGTTAAAACTTCATCGTTTATTTATTAATAACAAAATATAATAGTATGGAAGGGAAAAAAAAAGTTTGTTTCAAATAATATTATATTTTATTTTTCTATAAAAATGAAAAAAAATGCAAAGTACAATTTAAAAAAAAATAATATTTTAAAAATTTCTTTTACAATTTTTAAAAATTGATTTATCATTAAAATAACTTATTTTATTTTACAAAAAATAAATTAAGGACTAGCCAACAATTTCTGTTTATTTACAAAAATTAATTTTTATTTACATATATAGAAAAAAATTATATTAACACAATAGAATTCACATCTACCCAATGATTACAATACATCTGAAAATATAATGAGAGTGTATGATGACACAAAATGAAAATGATAAGTAGTAAAATAAATAAATAAGTTGTAAATATATGCTAACATACGTACAATACATGATAACATAAGATACATTAATCACTTAATATATTGTTCTTGAAATGTATATTAACTTATCTTTTTTGATTGTTTATTTATCATAACTCAAACATTATATAATCTTGTCTATGAACTATTTATAATACCATGAAGCTTACAAACTTGAAATATGTATGGTTCTCTTTCTTATTATTGCCTTTTTTTTATTTCAAATAAATTCACTTTTTATTCAATCTTTAGATCTAATTGGACCCATTCTTTGAATAGAATTTGAATATATTTTGTTTCAGTGAATCTTTTCATATATAACATTTTATTAAACTTCATACATATGGGCCGGTGTTTAGAAAATATTTGGGGAGAGGCCAAGATTAGTGTAACATGATAACTGTGTTCAATGCATGGGAGGATGGAGTGAGAATAGAATTCCATATATAAAAGAAGAGTTCAGTAATCGGTTAATTACCTGTAATATTATAATTATTATCTAAACGTTATACTAAACTTTTGTATTGAAGTTTGTATGTTATTTTAATCAAGCGAGTTCGAAATATTTGAGGAACTGGCCCCCTTCAAAAAATATTGAGTGAGGAGAAAGGTAGGAGGACCTTCTCCCCTCCCGCCTCCTCCCAGTACCGGCACCCATGACTTCATACAAGTTTTATAACAAATATACATCATAATAATTGCCTAAAATTGATTATCATACTGCAATAAATTCAGATGACAAAAGCTTAAATATTATTATCATTTGTTGACTTGGGTTGGATGTCCAAGGAACAGTTCATTCTGTTCTTATCTAATCTTAATTCTTTACTTAATTTGCTTTGCTTTGTTTAACATTTAAAAAAAAACTGGTAACACAATTCCTTTGCATATTATTTTACTTGTTGACTTATTGGTTCTGTTTCCATAATCGTAATACACACTTACTAATAGTCGAAAGTGTAGTGATTTTTTGGTACCTCAACTCTAGGTTGTTGTGGGTATGAAAAACCTTGTGGGTATTTGTCACAAACTGTGCCAGATATCAATTCTTTAAGAGAACCATAAAACACTCTGAAATTAATGTCATTGAAATCTAATGTTGCTATTAGTTGGACTGGCATACGGTCTGACATTACCCATAAAATACCATTTTTAACTCTTATATCACTTGGAAATACTAATTCTACATCATCCTTTGCTATGATTGCTTGGGTTTCTTTATTATATGGAAGGTCAGAATTCCAGCAGCCAACTGCATTTTGATCTATTAAGTTGTGAACCATAATGCCATCTTCTGTCATTGTCTCTGCAGTGGAATGTGATTTTTCTCCTCTTTCACCAAGAACAAGGAAATCATGATAACTTTTATCTGTGGCATCTTTATTTCTCAACACACTCAGTGGAACAGCAAATTCAGTATGGCTGGCAAGAGGATGGAACAGGAGAAATCTTTCACTATGGCTTTTGGGAGATAGAGCCATTCCAAAGATGCCCTCTGCATCCCATTGGAAGTTAAGACCAGCAACATTGAAATCTCCTTTAAGAGGGTCTGGTCGGAAAAATCCATGTTCGAATCTCCAGGAATCATGGTCTTGCAAACTATATACAATCAAACCATATCCAAGTTCATCGCTTGCATAAACATATGTATCTGAGCAATCTTTTCCTACATCTACAGCAATATTTGCAATGAAGGTGTCTGCATTTATATCACTCTCTTTAAACTGATATCTCAATATTTGTCTATCAGTCTTCAGATCAAAAGCATGAAGGGCATATGGGCATAGCTGTTGGGTGGTATTATCTGAAATAACAAACATTTAACTTAAATCAACATCATTAACTTTAAATTTATATAATTTTGTATAAATAAACAACAATTTTATAATTTTTGGTAGCTAAACAAACATACTCTTGTCGGAAAGATAATGGAAAGAAAACAACTATTTTTTTGTGTACTACAATTACAAATTTTGATTAAAGTGAAAAGAGTAACTGTTATAAAAATTATATATGAAGATAATTTATAATTTCAACCACAAGTGGAGTCATACAAAAGTAGGAATGTAAGTGAAATTAATACATTACACAACATTTTTTAATTGATGCTTTAAAATTTATCATCATGTTAATTTGAATGTAAATTTTTAATAATAACTACAATTTTGCTTACCTATTCCAAGGGTACCAGAGTCCAAGACCCATAGACGTCCACATTCATCTGCTCTTATTCTATAAGTGGTAGTGAGCCCAGCACAGTTACCTTCTTCATTATACTCAAGGTTTGGATATGGAATGAGAGGTGGTGATTCTCCTACATCTTCATTCAGAGGTACCCAATTCAAGGTACTAGGAACACCTTTAAATATTAATTTTAATAGTTAGTTTTCAGTTAATATTAAAAATTTTTGTGAAATTTATTGCAATGATTATGTATGTTCTAAGACAATTATATATAATAAATTTTTATTTTCCAAAATGGTAAATTAATTTCTCTCAGACATGAGGTCTGTTTTACATCACTTTATTTGCTTTAACTTAATTTCCAACAAGTTACTCTAATTTTCACATAAGAGATTATTTATTTTGCTCCTATCGGTGGTTTATTGCCAGACTTCATTTAGTATCTTTTTGATGGATTTAAACTTTTAAGAAAGATTTTGTAAAATTCAACCTTATTTATTTGTAAAAAAAAATTAAAAAAAAATGCAAACTTAATACAATGAAGCAAAAACTTCTATATATCTAACATAGTTATAAGAAGCACACAATTTTCTGATTTTACAAATGGA